AAAATACATAAATATACAATATTTGTAATATACACTTTTTACAAAATCCAAATTTCTTACAGCTACAGCAACTGTCCTTGATGCATTAAAGTTTTTTTTTAACTTTTTGTTATTAAAGTTAAAATTCCTTAACCAAATAGGTTCGTGTCCCTTGTCCTTTCGTTTTTCTTGACCGGGCCGAACTTGTGCCGCCTGTCTTTCTTGGGAAGGTAGTTCTGCAAATACATTATGGGTATTGTATTATTTTAAAAATCCTATTTTATATATATATTAAGGAGTTTGTTGTTTTTCATCCTACCTTGTTGTCGTCCTATGTTTGTTCATAGCGTGCTGTGTTGCTTTTACTGTTCTAATATGTACTGTGTTGCACAATTTATACTTCCTGAATTTGTGACGTTAATGTGAGTGTGTTCTTATGTTGTATTATGAGGTCGAACATGAGTNTTTTTTTTTAACTTTTTGTTATTAAAGTTAAAATTCCTTAACCAAATAGGTTCGTGTCCCTTGTCCTTTCGTTTTTCTTGACCGGGCCGAACTTGTGCCGCCTGTCTTTCTTGGGAAGGTAGTTCTGCAAATACATTATGGGTATTGTATTATTTTAAAAATCCTATTTTATATATATATTAAGGAGTTTGTTGTTTTTCATCCTACCTTGTTGTCGTCCTATGTTTGTTCATAGCGTGCTGTGTTGCTTTTACTGTTCTAATATGTACTGTGTTGCACAATTTATACTTCCTGAATTTGTGACGTTAATGTGAGTGTGTTCTTATGTTGTATTATGAGGTCGAACATGAGTAGTTTACCTATTGTGTGGGTTGTATTGAAGGCTATCTTTATGTTTATTCTACAAACCAAGATCTGGCATAGCCATGGGCTCACTCCTATCAAGTACAATGGCAGAAATCTTCCTACAACTCTAGAACAAAACAGAATAAAACAGCTGCTGGAAGACGAGAAAATTACATACTATAATAGATACGTAGATGATATCTGCATAATATATAATCAGACAAAAATAACCCCACAGTGCCTCCTCGAGCACTTTAATGAACAGCAAAGAACTTGCAATTCACAATAAATGAGGAAGTAAACAACCAAATAACCTACTTGGACTTAAACCTATTTAAAATACATGGACAAATAAAAATGGAAATATGTGGAAAACCTACGACAGACATAACAATAAATAATAAATCATGCCACCCCAGGGAACAAAAATTAGCGGCATATAAAAATTGGATGCACAGACTTCTCGCACTACCCCTCGAGGAAAATGCTAAAAACCAAGAGTTAAATACCATTATTAATATAGCGCTAAATAATGGCTATAGAAAGGAAGACATCATAAAACTACATAATAAACTTAAACAAAAGAAAAGTAAATCAAATAATAAAGATGAAAAATAACAAAAATGGGTAACTTATACAGGAAACTACATATGAAAAATCATAAAATTATTGGAAAACACTGACATAAATATAGCCTTCAAAACAATCCACAGATAGGTAAACTAATAAATGAAAAACGAGAAGTAAACCCCTATGAACTAAATGGGATCTATAAAATGACATGCCAAAGCTGCCAAAAGTATACATCAGCCAAACTGGTAGAAAGCTAACAACAAGGTATAAAGGACACATAGAAACATAAGACTAAATAAAGATGAATCAGCATTCGTCCAACATATACTAAATAAACAACACCAGTATGGACCGATGACAATAATCATGGAAAATGATTGAGAAAGCCATAAAAGGAGGCATCATGAATATAAAAGAAAATTTCCATATATATCGTTTTAATAAGCTCAATAAATTAATAGAAGAACAAAACACACAGAGGAAAGTAGTAACCAATGTAACATGTTCGACCTCATAATACAACATCAGAACACACTCACATTAACGTCACAGATTCAGGAAGTATAAATTGTGCGACACAGTACATATTAGAACAGTGAAAGCAACACAGCACGCTATGAACAAATTAGGATGAAAAATAACAAACTCCTTAATATATATATATAAAATAGGATTTTTAAAATAATACAGTACCCATAATATATTTGCAGAACTACCTTCCCAAGAAAGACTGGTGGCACAAGTTCGGCCCCATCAAGAAAAACGAAAGGATAGGGGACACGAACCTATTCGGTTAAAGAATTTTAACTTAAATAACAAAAAGTTAAAAAAAAACTTTAATGCATCAAGGACAGTTGCTGTAGTTGTAAGAAATTTGGATTTTGTATAAAGTGTATATTACAAATATTGTA